AAACACACAAGGCAATCCAGGCGTTGATTTCATGCAATCGAGCTTCCTGTAAATCACACAAAACAAACAGAATGTCACGGTTTAACATTTGCAAATAATATTTTTTCAATAATAGTCTTTCTAGTTGTTCTAAGTAAACCGAAGACACTACCGAAGACTCTAAGTAAGTCTTAATGGTTTACCCTTTTCTGAACTTACATTTATATATATATTTTTTTAAAGATTTATTTTTGGGCTTTTAATGGAGAGATGGGACAGTGGATAGAGTCGGAAACCAGGGAGAGAGAGATTGGGGAGCGACACGCGGGAAGGAGGCCACAGGCACCCGGGCCGCCCGCTTGAGACGACAGCCTCAATACATGGGGCGCGCGCCCTAACCATTGCACCACCAGCGTGCCCAAACTTACATTTATATTGATGCAAAACAAATGAAATTTAAGTATAGGGAAAGTAGATTATTATTTTTTAAATATGGTCATTAAAGAAAGTCTCACAGAGCATCTAATGAATGCCCTTGATTGCAACATGAAGAGACAAAGACCTGCCTTCAAATCTATCAGGTCTTCTGCAGAAATGGGAACACCTCCAACAGCTACAGATTCATGCCCCATTTCCAACAGCTTTGTATAGCATGCTGTATATTTGCATCCCATCATTTGCAGAAGGCAAAGGTGATGCAGACCTGTGATACATATACATTCATATTGATTTGAGAAAAGGGCTTAACCATGACAGTCTTACTGAGCTGGAACCCAATTTGAAGTCATGTTTGGTCCCAAATACAAGTTACCAGAAATCTGACATCCTTGTATGTAAGAAAACAAAGTTAATGTAACAGATGTTCAGGTCTAAATAAAGTAAACAAATAATGAATATCACACACACATCATCAGAGAGTCAGTGTGCTAAATTTACTCACAAGGCACAAGGTCCTAGAGTCACTTTACTCAGTTGATTTTGTTGGAGTACCCCCAGCAGCAACTGTTCCAGGTAAAAAGAATAAAATCAATAAATCAATGATGTTTTTCTATTGCATACACCTCATGGAATCTCCATTAAATAATTATTATATAGTAATAATTAATTTTTTGATAGCAAATAAATATTTGAATTCATTATTTTCTGACAACACCAAAGCACTGCCAAACCAGGAACCTATTCACGGTGCTTGGACTGTTAAATGGTCTATCTGTCCAATATTTGCAGCATTTCAAAATCTAGGAGTGTTGAAATGAATAGTTTCTACGATGCAACCCGGTGCGGATGTGAACGATTCTGCATTGCTGCAGTGACAGAACATACATCGGTTATTGCAAACTGACATTACTTGTAGATTTCCCAGAAACAGCTGGACCTATAGGATTGATTTATTTTTTGGTAAACAATGTTGATCAACAATCATATTGACATTGTTTTTGAAATCCTCTCAATAACAAAAAGGGGAATTCCTATTAATCTGCTTTCATCCAAGACGACTGCTTGTCTTTATGGATGAATAAGTAGCCATCATGTACACAATTATCCACAATAACCACCAAGTACAATCCTTCTTAATGTTCTAAGATCATTCTAGCAGTGTTATGTAGTTTTCATACTTGGGTAACAATTAAGCTACTACAACAATTTACCACTTAATGATATCTGATTTTTCAAAATGATGTACCATTCTGATGGCTGCTTGGCTCTATCTGAAGATGTTAATCATCCTGAGATGTTGGGTTGCTGTCTTTATGTTTATTGACGTATACATGGGGGGGGAAGCTTTGGGTAATACATAAAAAGACCACAACATAATCTATGATCTTTAATCAGAACATGCAAAGTTGACGGGGATTGAAGCCTTATAGCACCTTACTTTAACCGACTGAGAAAATTAAGACAAGCTTAACAAGCCTCCAAATTGAGGTGAACATAAACAAAACAACAAACACAGAGAGGACCATTGCTCTCAACACAACATATCTGGGGTGCAGCGCTCGTATTGTTAGCTTGCTGTTGCTGATGAGCACACTAAAGTTGTTTTCCAAAAGGCGTTACTGTTAAACGCATAAAGCATTACAGTTTGAATGACTTACACATGTATGCAAATAAGACTTTCACACGAAGTGTATTAATGTGCAGCGTTTGAAGCTTTGCACTTCACATAAACAGACACAAACATCTCAGATGGGTTGCTAGTGCAAGCTAACCAGGGGGAGGTGGCCGACCACGTTCATGAAGAAGGCCGGAGAATTGAAAAACTGACATGGATATGTGGACCAGCTTCTGCACTACAATACTCAACCATCTTTATTTTCATGTACTTACCAACCACAGGAGCCAGGACCTTATCCCTCGAAGCGAAGCAATAATGGCTGGGCATGAAGAAGAAATGGCTCAATAGACATCTGGTCATGCAGAGACCATGAACTCTCTAGGGAAAGGCTTTCGGTGCAGCTCTCCGGTGAAAAAAAACCCGTGATACTCCGCCAAGAGGTTGAGCGGCGAGCTGAGAAGGTTGAGTGCTGCAGCTTCGATAGGCGCGGATCGGAAAGACACAAGAGGTTGTTCCGCGCATGCGCAGTCCACAGCCCACTACAGAAAGGAGAGTGAAGTGCCTACCGGTAGTTTTGCACCATGGCTTCTATGCGATTTGTCGCTGTGGTTGCAATTGAAATTGCAGGCCATGTGATTATTCTGGCTGAAAGAATTTGCGAATAGAAAAAAAAAAGTTAAAGCCAGACAAATGAGAGGACTTAATTTCCCAGCAATGGGTCCACGGTGCACAATCCATTTGATTCTAGTTTATCTTATGCATTGCATTTGTATTATTTGTTAGGCCCTATTGCACTTTTGGGCTTGACTAGACGTTAATACAGTATGACTAGTGTCACCTCAAGGGCTGCAAGCACACAGTATCCACCTTTAATACAGCCTGTTCAAAACGTATGGTTACACTATTATACAGCTTTACTGTTATACAGTAAACCTACAGTAGAAGCAGTAACAGGTGAACATGTTCGTGTAAATGATGGAGCCAGCAGGACACAACAGGACCATGTGCATGTAAAGCTGAAGCTGTACATAAACATGCTGTTTCTAAGCCAATATAAGTTCTTGGTAAATTTCAAATCAATAATTGAGGACCTGAGTACTTTCTTTCAGAGAAACTGCGATGATGAAAAAGTTTTTTTTTAATGAATTGTACTATAATCTTCACTTTCTCCCTTGTTGTCTTATGTACAGTGTTAAAAAAAAAAGAAGAGTAAAGGAAGAATAATTTGCAAACTTGGCCAAACAAATATTTCAAAGTTGCAAGGCGATACTGTTAATGGGAGACTTGGTTAACATTTAAGATTTAAGTTCCCATTCTTCCGTTGGCCAGAAGCTTAATTTCTTCATATCAGTAACATGTATACATTATACCATTATTTATATAATTTAGCTTCATAGGATTTATACACTGAGAAGATAGTTCCCTGATATTCTTAGGAAATGTATAAAATGATTAATAGTAAGCGGAGGTCCATCTTCTCTCTCCAAGCTCTGGTTGAAGATGTGACACCATTCCTTGAAGCCCTCTTCTGGTTGATAAGAAAGCCGAGTAGTCATTGGGATGGGCTGTGAAGACAGTTACTTACCAATAGCTTGACCTTCAGAGGACAGCTTCGAAAAGATCCAGGCAAACAAAGACAGGCAGAACTGTTGCAAAGAGGTATTAAAGACTTGAATCTTTTCTGTGGTGCAGCCAGGCCCACGTCACTGAATCTGTCTCCCAAGATTTTTCGCATGTCAGTTTTGAGGTCATCTAAGAATTGAAGGGTCTTCTGCAGTTTCCATTTACAATATTGAAGTCTCATGTCTTGTGTTTGACCACTCATGTTCAGTAGAGCAAACGACAACCCTAGAACTACCTAATCTTAATGTTACTATACCCCTGTTTAATTTTAAGAAAAAGTGGATCACTTCATCTGAAGTTAATTTATTACCAAATCTAGGATTTTCCATAGTCCAGAGCACTATGACTTTGCTGTCTGTAGCCTGAACTAACACTTGGTTGATTCTGTCACCAGCACACTAAGTGTCTGATCTTGGGTCTAACTTATTAATTTAAATAATAGATCTGTCACCAGTTTAGTATTTGTTATGTAATTGAGTACTTAGTTTATTAGAACAGTGTTGGGCTGGCTAGTGATTAAACTGCATACCCAAGGTAAGTCCTGAAAGAAGGCTCAGCCTGTTAAAAAACATGTAAATGCAGATCCAGTTGTTTTAGATTTTCTTGATAATACATTCTGGTTAATAGAAATATCTCCTGTGTAGACAACCATCATTTATTTATCTTTATGTCATATACTGTCCTGAAAATTAGAAATGCAGTCGACATAACCCCATTTAGAGAAAGTGTTTTCTGCTCATGCACTCCCTCTTATTGTGCATTTTTTTGTACGTCAGAACACATAAATATTTTTTTTTTTTACTTTTTCTTATGAAATTAGATTTCCCCTTATCAGATAAAGTCTAAATGTGTTTCTTATCACAAACTTGCCAGTAACTTTAGATGTAGTTCTAAATGTATTATGGTTGTCTTCCTTAAATAATTTTAATTCATTTTGGAAAGAAAAAAGACCCAATCTAAACAATCCTAGACCATGTGCTTTGGGAATTTCCCCAATTAAACCCACTACTAAACAGAAATCTGTTTCACACTTTAAAAACAAGACCTAGCTATAAATTTGACTGACATACATTTACATTTCATTAAATTACTTTAGTCCTTAGACAAATGGGGAGGAATCCAATAGACACAGAGAAAGGCCCCAGTCCTCAGGTCTGTGAGGTTTCTTTAGCTATCTTGATTCTCACAACCAACTTTCAAACTTGTTATCTCTAACCTGGGACGGTGCCAATTCTAATATATAAATAAATGGCCTTTTCATACCAAGCCAATGGATGCTTAGCTTGCTTTCTAGCTTTTCCTGAAGTGCCCCAAATTTTTTTAAACAAGACCATCAAAAAAATATTTTCTGTAGACTTTACTTGATATTTGAATCAATCAACCCAAATTTCTCTAAAAAGTTACACCGTTAGTTTATGAAAGGATAATCCCGTATGAATGTCTCAAACCTCTGTACAAGATGATCATATCAAAAACACAACTCATACAGAAAAAAAAAAAACAGAGGAAAATATAACAGAACATTTCTCAAGTATCTTTAGTCCATCCATGACAGTCATAGAAAATACGAAGATAAAACTGACATTTGAAATTTTACATTTGTCAAAAATAAGGACTAAAAACTATTAAAAAAAACAGTAAAACATAAAGATGACCATGCTTGATCAAAAACTTGAGTCTTTATCAAAGACATTCTATAAACATTAAATCCAATCATGTTTGTATATATCTTTGATTCAGAATATCAATCAACTTTACACAATTTACAAACAATGTCAAGAAAACATGTGGTTACTTAAATGTATACAAAGTAACTTATTAAAACTTACGACTATACACAATGTAAAAGGGAACTTAGGAGAATATACCCTGTCAAAATGACATGAGCTAAGAGCTTGTAAGTATATAAGGGCCAAAAATACAAATTGGATAAGGGTAGTGATTACCAGCCCAGTTACACAATCAGATGTAAGGCATGAAAAAATAATTCAAGTAACTTTAGTTTCAGTAATTCAAAGGAAACACAAGATAGATGGTATATATAATAACCCGTTTTCTACTGAGAAGACCCAGCATGAGTCTGTTGATGTTCCTCCAATAAGTGAGGGAAAGCAAAGGCTTTGTCACATTCTGTGCATTCGTATACAACTTCGCCAACATGACTCTCTTGGTGCTGCTTAAGTAAAGAACCCTGGCTGAAAGACTTGTAGCACATATCACAGCGGTACTCTCCACCTTCTTTTTCAGCATGCAGTCTCATATGCAAAGATAGCTTCTCCGCTGAATCGAACTCAATCCGGCACTGGGTACATTTGAGTTTGTTTTCTGCCCACTGATCGCTACTTTGAGTGGTAAACTTTTCACTGTGCCTTCGCTCGTGCTGTTTAAGGTACCTTCTCAGGGCAAACCTTTTTCCACAAAGCTCACATTTGAACGGCTTGTTTTCTGTGTGTTGTTCATTTTGATGCCCCAAAAGACTTCTCTTTGAGGAGAATTGCATTGAGCAAACAACGCAATCATGTACATCCTCTCCGGTGACATCAACCTCCTCTTCCTCTCCTGCTGCTTGATGGTAGTTCATAGTGGATGTCATAGCTGATGGATTTGAGTCATTAGTCTGCTTCTCTCTTTGTTGCTGATGGGAACATTGGTGCTGGAGGAAAGCATTGCTTTCCAAAAAGCTCTTGCCACATTTTGTGCATTCAAATCCAGTGGCTGATGTCCGATGACTGCTCTCATGCTCTTTTAGCTTACTCTCAGAGGTAAAAGACATTTTACAAATTTTGCATTCAAATGTACCATCAGGATGCATGGGAAAATGATTAATCAATTCAGTGGCACTGGCAAAACACTGGTGACACACAGGACAAATGAAACCATGTGGACCTCCATCTTTCACTTCAATGTTGTGATCACTTTCTGCTGCAGTATTAACATGGCTCTTAGCATGGCTAAGGAAGTCCTTTGATGAAGAAAAACTGCTGTTGCATTGATTACATGGATATTCACAACTAGACCATGATATTTTATGGGTGGCCCTATGCTTTTTCAGGTGTGATGCATGGAGAAAATGTCTGTCGCATTCTGAACAAGAGTATTGTCGTTCTTTGGCTGCAATGCAACCATGCTCTGAAAGCTCCTCTGGGTCTCTGAAACGCTCACTGCAGACACCACAGCGGTATTTGAGTTCAGCAAGTGACACAGACTTTTCTTTTTCATCCCTTGAGACTGAAGGTACTTGAAGCGCTCTTGACTTAGAATGGCTTTTTCGATGCTCAGCTCTACTGCTCTTGGAGGGAAACACACGATTGCATATGTCACATGGGAAACTTTCTTCACGATGGGTGGTCATGTGTTCAGCCAACTGTGAAGGTCCTGTGAAGCTGAGGTGACACTTGGAACAACGGTATGGTCGGCTCTTTCCATGGGTATGCTTGTGTTTACGCAATGCAAAGAGAGATACAAAACCCCTGCCGCATAACTGACATTGAAATTCAGACTTGTGCATTCGTTGATGTTGCTGCAACTGGGATGCCTGAAAAAAACATCTACCACACTCTGCACATTCATGTGGTTTTTCACCCAGGTGACAACGCTGATGATCCTCAAGACTTTCTGATGTTGGGAAAGTCTTTCCGCACACATGGCACGGAAAGTACGGCGCCGAGTCTGAGTCACCATCTTCACAGCTGTTATTTTCATCCAAATCACTTCCGGCAGGTGTGCTAAGTTGGTTGCTGGGTTGTTTTTCATTACAGCTTTTGTTCTGTACATTACTCTGATGATCCATCAGCTCTTTTTGATGCCATGCTTTGTAATGTCTTGCCAATGATTTTTTGGCTGCATAGGCCTTGTTACAGAAACGACAAGTGTATGCATCCTCTGGATGGTCGTCTTTGTAATGATTACACAAAGATGGTCTTGTCAAAAACCTTTGACTACATAATTTGCAAGAATAACGTCTATTGGGGTCGTGACATTTTCTGTGGATTTCAAGCTCAGATTGGGAGTTAAGAGCCATGGAGCAGTCAGGGCAAGAATAATTCTTAGCAGTGCCAAGATGGATCCTCATGTGTTTTTGGAGATTTCCTTGACTAGAGCACATCTTCCCACATTTAGTACATGCATTGCGCTTTTTCTCTTGTTCCTGTCTTCCGTGGTCTTCGAGGTGACTGATAAGCATTAAGCCATCTGAGAAGCTCTGATCACACTCTGAACATTGGTACTGCACAGTTTTCTTATCTTTACCCGAGTTGCCTTCAACCTGGTTTTCTTCTGATTTTTTCTGGGAGTCATCTATCAAATCTTCTTGACAGGAGGAGTGGGTCTGTAAAACACCAGTGCCAGGTGATTTGGAGAAATCTTTAAACACTAGAACAGAGTCATCAGGTGCAAAATCCATCTTTGCTTTCACGGGGACTTCCAACTGCCTTATGGAATTACTCCCTGAAATATGTGCAATTCTACATTTCCTGTAGTGATTGCGATGAAGGTTTTTATTCCAGAACCCTCTTTTACATATTTTACAGTTAAAAGGAAGCTCTGTCTTATGCACACGCTGATGAGCACTTAGTCCATTTTTACATGAAAATGACATGTCACACTCAGAGCATGAATATTGGTTGGACACCTCCAAATCAAGAGCTGCATCTAGTTTACAGATAACATTAGCACCATCACTTAACCCTTTGTCATAACTATCATCCAAAGGCTCTTCTTTGATGTTTGGAATATTTGACAGATGATGTTGTAGGGGAGCAGTAGACACTGGGGGTACTATTGTTTCCATCTTGTGTGCATTTAAAAAATGTTCTTGGAGCTGTGAAAATAGCAGAAAACGGGAACTACAATATGCACAGGAAAAGCCTTTTGGTTGGCTGTGAGAGGTTGACTGTTTGCTTTGGCCAACTGTTGACTCTGAAAAGTTTGGCTTTAGAGAGCAATGTTTTTTGTGATTTTCAAGTTTAACATGAGAGAAAAACCCTCCACATCCATCACAAAGCACTTTATTTTGGCCATGTTTCTTGTTGCACTTTGGGTAATGACGCTTCACATAATCCTTCCTTATAAATCTCTCACCACAATAAAGACAGGCATATGGCTTCTCTCCTGTGTGCAGGCGAGTGTGCATGTCTAACTGCGAAATGCATGCAAACGCACGGGGACAGTAACTACACATATGTCTGTTCCTTTTGTCAAAATATGGTTGGAACCTCTTAAGAACTCTAGTCTGCACCTCGAGTGGGGGGATTGTCAAGTTTTCAGTGGATGAATTAGTGCCTAGTGAAAATAAGACTTGTTTTGCTCTGGAGACTTTTCTGCATTTTCTCATCTTCAGATGCTTTTTCAAAGTTTTTGCATGAGAAAAAGCTGTGCAACAGTTTGGGCACTTGAATAATTTTGTGATATGGTACATAGTGTTATGTCGGGAAAGTTTAGACTGAGTTGGGAAGCTCCTTGAACAGACTGTGCAATCAAATGTCTCCTGCTTTTTAGCCAAATCAATGCCAAACTTATTTTGCCAACCCTTGCCAATATCATTTAAGCTGACTTTGGGAATACGGACTTCCAATCGCTGCTTTTTCCCTCTGCAACGAGTCTGATGCACTTTCAGATGATCGTACCTTGAATAGCAACTGTCGCAGGCTCTACAGCGATATGGTTTCACGTCATTGTGTGTCAAAATGTGACGTCTCAGGTTTCGTGGTTTCATGAAGGTCTTTGTGCAGAATTTGCACTTCAATTCAGTTTCAGCTTCTGCTTGGGGCTTCTGTGCTGTCTCTCTGAGAGTAGGAATGCTTGATGATTTTGTTGCAGCAACACTTATCGTCTCAGACCGCACCTTATCTCGAGTGCCATCACACAGAGCTTCATGCAGTGAGCACGGTTTACGACCTCGAAATCCTTTGCCGCAGAGTGAACATAAAAAGGGTTGCACACCGGTATGTGAGTAAAGGTGTCTTAAGAGTAAAGATCTGTACCTGAACATCTGTGCACAGTGGGAGCACTTAAACGGAAGCATCTTGTTTGCACTGGTCTGCGAAGGCCTTTTCTGGACTGTCTGTGTGATGCTTTTACTTGGAAAGGAAAAGACAGCACTGGTCTTTGTAGTATTCTCACAATTGTTCTTATGTCGTGTTAACTTTCTTGATTCAAAGTATTTCCCACATCTAGAGCATGGAGCAAGAGAGTCTGTCTTGTGGCCACTGTGATGTTTTATCAGGCGGGAATTGTCTTTTAACACCCGTGGACAATAGTCACACTGAAGAGATACCTTTGTTTTACTGCAAGGGTCCATTGAGACACGAAGTCTGGTTGGAGCAGGCAAACACGTTTTATGGTGAACTGTAAGGGTGAATTTATGGAAAAACTCTTTCCCACAGTTTGTGCAGGAAAAGGGTTTGTCACCAGTATGTATGACCATATGGCGCAGCAAATAGCGGCGATGATTGAAATTACGCTTGCACAATGGACACTGGGTTGAAGAGGACATGTGTATTAAGAAATGTTTTCTTAGCAGGTTGGCATCATTAAATAGTTCTCTGCATAAGGAGCACTGTAGCCGTTTTGGAAGACTCTTCTCTTTCATGGAGTCCTGGGACAGCTGTGGTTTTATCAGCAATCTTTCTTCAAGCTGAGTTGTCTTTCCTTCTTGTTTTTTGTGGGTGCGTAGATGTTTCAGGAGATGTGCAGGATACTGGAACTCCATAGCGCAGTCTGGACATTTAAGCATTCCTCTTTTAATATGTGTGCTTCTGTGTTGGATCAGTTCCCCAATGGTTGGTAGAATCTTTCTGCAGACAGTGCACTGTATCCTTCTCTGGTGAACAGCTTTGTGACCGATCAGATAGGCATGCTTTTTGAATTTTTTTCCACATTCAAGACAGTGGTATGGTCTTTCACCTCTGTGAATGCGCTCATGATTCTTTAGTGACTGCAATGAGCCGAAAGATTTTCCACAAAAATTACAGCTCAGGGCAAGACTGCTAATGGTTTCAGTTGATTTCAAGTCATTTTTATTGTCTTCGTTCTTTGGACTACTTGAATTTGCTGGTTTAGACATGGTAGAAAACACAGATTTTCTGTACTTGGTAACTTTGCCTGTGAGTTTAGACAATTCATGTTTCTTCATGTGCTTGTACTTTCCAGAAGGATGGAAAAAAAATGCTGGACAAAGGCTACATTTGTAACCAGGCTTCTGTTCAGTTTCCGTTGACAGTGTTTTTGTCTCTTTTGCATTGGACTGTCTCGCCTGCTCAGTCTCCTTTTGCCTTGACATAGTCTCTTTTGAAAGCTGACTGAGATAGTCTCTGAGGCAAAATGAATTTATATGTCTGCACCGGTTTGATGATAAAGTGAAGGTAGCGTGGCACAAGGGACATCGGAATTTACCATCAATTTTACCCTTGCCACCAAATACAGAATCTTTGACACATTGACGTAAATGTCGATTCCTGTTGTATGTATACTTGAAAAGCCGTGGGCAAAGAGGACATTTGAAGTCCACGCTAGTCTCATTCTTCGGTGTTTGGCTTTTCTCAACGTTGAGTTTTGTAGTACAAAGACTTGACAAAACTTCAGATTTCTGCTTCCTGTGTTTGCTTAAAAAGTGTTTTCTGACCTGCTGTGGAGTCGAGAATGCTTTACCACATAATCTACACAGATTGTGTTTGTAAATGTCAACAAGCTTTACAAAACATTTGCGCAGTTTTGCAGAAGGCTCCTCCTGTGCCAAAGTCTTTGATGGTGATGATATAGTTGTGCCGATAACTGCATCTGAACTTTTCACTGGCAATTGTGGCATCCTGTATCTGCAGTTTCTACGCCTGTGTCTTTGTAGGGTACATGACTGTGAAAAATATGTTCCACATTCATTACACTTATAAGGTGTTTTTCCAGTGTGAGAGCGCATGTGTGAAATGTAATGAAGTCGTTTTGAAAACTTTAGTTGGCACCTATTGCATTTGTGAATGCCTTTTTTTCTGTCCTTCTGTAAACTTGAATCAGAGGAGAGCCCAGGGTTATCTGAAACACTTGTGCTTTTAGTTTCACCACACGAGTGCTTTTCCACTTGTTCATTTGTCATCAGGTAGAGGTTGCAAGTCTGGCAAAACTGAAAATCTTGCCCTGAATGGCAACAATGGTGGTGTTCTATTAGATGATCCACATTGTAGGTTGTGTGCTGGCAATTTGCACAATGAAAGGAGTTAACCATTCCATTGGGTGACTCTGACGTCTTCAATATTACAACAGGCTGCAGTTTTTTCTTTTGTGAAGAGGATTTAAGTTGAAGCACTTGTCCTTCAAAATGATTCATGCTGTTACCATCAAGTCTGGCCAAAGCTTTGTCTCCATACTGACTGATGTCAAGTTTTGTTTCATCAGTGTCACATGATGAGTCCTCTCTTGACAGGGGTTCACCATACAACATTCCAAGCACTGGTGGTTCTTTTGTAGATGTATCCAACCCTTGAAAGGTTTCAGCAACATCTCCAATGAGACTTTCTGGTGCAGGTGCCACTGGCATGTGATCTAGAGACTGATGCTCATAAAGACAAGCAGCTGTAATTGTTTTCTCTGTTGCACTTGTCCTTTCCTCTTCAAGACAGGGAGCAATGTCTGTTTTTGAGTTATTTTTCTGTACACCTAAATCTATGCTATTAGAATCACCTTTTCTTAATTTGTCACCAATTTCAACCGATAGGCTGTCACAAGTGACACCAGCATTATTGTCATCTGGATCCAGAGGAGTATTAGTATTTGTCCTCACTGCAGCACTTGTCCACTCTTCATTTTGACAGGAATTTTCCTCTGTGCTGGCGCTACTTGACTGTGAGCAGAATTCTGTGTGACTTGCAATTGATTTCTCAACCTTTTCACTTACATGGCTAAACTGATTATCTGTCATTACAGTACAGCTCCCACAATCATTTTCCTCTGCTCTACTGTTGTAAGACTCATGCTCAGAATGCTGCAAACAGGATTCGGTATTGCTTTTCAAAGAACTGGTGCATTCCCTCACTTCATGAGTAAAATCTTGAGAATCAGGCACCTCCATGTCTGCTAGATCTAAAGATTGGGAGGTATTTGACTTCATGTCTTTGTCCTCACAGTTGGTCTCCTGGTTTTCATCTTGACCATCCTTGGAGTTAGGATTTGAGCATGTCTGCTCCTCAAAAATCCCAGTTTCCAATGTAACAGGTTTTTTCCTTTCCTCCCTTAGGACTTCACTTTCATGTAGCTGCTTCTCTGCCATGTCTCTATCTTGTCCCCTTGTGAGGTGGGAATTGTCCAATCCCACATTTTCTTGGCGGAGTGATTGCTTTGTTCCATTTTCATTTTCAGAAGCAGTCATGCTACTTAAAGAACTTGCTGGGATCTGCTCTTCAATTTTGCCATCTGGGTAATCCTTATTTCCATGAGTTGTGTTTTCAATGGCACTCATCCGGATGTGTGCCGTTTCCTCTTGTTTTTTCTCAATTTCACCGATTAGTTTTTGACAACAATCATTATCATTTCCATCCTCTACAGGCTCACCTCCTGTATTTGACATGTCCAAAGGAGAGGGCTTATCTTTTGATGCATTATTTTTTATTTTGTCTAAACTACTGATCTCGTCATGTGCATTCTGAACTGTTTGTTCTACTGTCTTCATGTTTGAAGGGCTTTTCCCATTGTTATTAGCTCCAGACATATGAGGAAACTGACTGTCATCCGGGATAGTCATATTTTCAGTATGAGGGAAAAGCCATTCGGATGAGCGGTGTTTACCAGCCTTGCCAATTTTAGGTTTTGGAACTGAACTACTTGTCACAAATTTACAAGAGGGCTTTGTTTCAATGTTATCTGCATCTGAGCAGCTACTAACATCTGAAAAGTTCTCAAAAAATGGTGTAGCTAGCATTCCACAGTCCTGATTTATTCCTTGTATGTCTGTTGCCACGGATGAAGGAAAAGATCCAGATGTTGACAGTCCATCTGTGGCAAAATCTGAGATGTCACTATTTGGCAAGTAATCTTTCTCCATTTGTCCGACATCAGCTTTCCACTGAGGTTCTTTGTAGTATCTTTGAAAAACACAGTCTGAACCAGAATTTGAATAACAGTTTGTGTTGAAGTTCGAGTTTGTTGCAGGGGCTTCATGTAAAGCCACTGTTTTAGAGAAGTCATGGTGTCCAAGGAAGTTTTCTATAGCCTCTGAAGGACTTCTTTCAGACTCTGTCCTCTTCAAAGTGGTTGGATCTGATGCTAAAGGTGGAGGATTATGGAAGTATGAATCCCACCCATTAGCCATTTTTTGCTCAAAGCTAGATCTTATTTTACACGATCCTGAAAACAAATAAAAGCACAGAATTATATGAAATATACTGTCCACATTATCAAACAAAAAATTATACAGAAATTGCAAAAATAATCTGACCTTTTCTTTGTGCAAAATCTTTCCAGGATTATGTGGGTTACATCGGAAAGGAAACCTAGAGAAAAATATGGATTAGTTGTATTATTGTTATGCGGCAAAAATATCTATTTTAAAGCAATTATTTCCAATATTTATTTGCCATAAATTTATCATTCTGTTGTATTTATGTGGAAAGTTTGTCCCTAAAAATCTCAAAGCCATGGTGTCAGATTCACCAGTTCTTGATAGGTTTACCAAGCACCAATTGATTCCAGAAAAAGGGTAAAACAATCTTGGATCAAGTCATTGCAAAGGAGCATGCAGGTGAGCACTTTGTGGCAAATTTGAAGCTTGAGCCAAAGGCAATTGGACTGGATGAAGATCTTGAAGATGCTTCACCTCTCCTCCGAAAAGCTGCTTCAGTTCTAAAATATTTGGTGGATGGAGCTGGCCAGGGAAGACTGTTCTTTTGAAAGGGGTGTTAAATAAGCCATCTATGTAAAGGTCGAAAAACCATCCCTTAACCAAGGTGGTAGTCTGAGACACCATATTTCACCACACTACAATGCTGTTTTGAATTCTCTCCCAAAACAACTGAAGCCCCAGTCCCACCTTGGAACATGTGAGTCCAACAACCCACAGACGACTGGGGTGTTAACGACACTAGGCAAAACTAGGTTAACAACTCAGCTAAGAACTCTGATGTGAGTCATCCTTGAGGACCAACGAGGCTTAAATTTCTAGCTCGGCACAACAGATGTACAGATCTACAACCAGTCTAATTGCCTTTGGATCAAGATTCTAATTTACCATGACCTGGATGACTGCGAACCTACTGAAGCCCCGTTTCCACCAAGCTGTTCAGTTTGGTTCGTCACGGTATGGCACGCATTTTGTGGCGTTTCCACTATCAAAGGTCGGGAAAGGTCCCCAAATTACAGTCCTGTACCATCCTACTTTTAGCTACCCTTTTGTTGGGTGCCAAGTCTACCGATCCAATCCTAAAAACTGGAGCTTCCGGCATCCAGCTTACACGCCGCCTACCAAAAAAAGAGTACGGTAACTACGGTTGGGTATGGAAAAGCAAACAGGATCAGGCTTTACCAAACCAAACCAAACCAAACCAAACCAAACCAAACCGTACTGATCGATACTGGACCGCTTGGTGGAAACAGGCTTAAGACACTTTGTGGCAAAATATGCACTTATGAGGCATTGGTCTTAAGTAATTTTTGCTAGGCAGTAGTGGCAGTGTGGCGTGGACTACCTACTGCAAAGTTCATATCCTACACTATCCACTGTCCTGTCAAACAAAGACATAAAGCCCAGCAACGGTCATGTTGGATGATGCTACAGGCATCATAATCTGTGAAGAGAACAGGCACCAATGGCAGACAAGCAAATTCTGGTGTTCTCTGGCAAATGCCAATTGAGCTGAATGGTGCGGGGCTGTGAGCACAGGTCCCGCAACAGGATGAAGGCCATCATACACCCAGAGTCGGTTTCTGACAGTTTGGTCTGAAACATGCACACCAGTAGCCTGCAAGATTTCATTTGTTAGGGCTCTGGTAGTGCTTTCCTGTTCTTCATTGCAGTAGGGCCAAGCAGATATTGGCCCTACTGCTTGGTTGATGCCCTTTTACGTCCATACTAACTCTCTTTGTATAGCTGCTGATCCCCTTGTTTCTCCTTTATTCTCTTGAGACTGGCTGTGAGACACAGTAAGGATTCTTGCAACCACACATACCAATGTGTCATTCTTGAGGAGCTGGAATACCTGTGCAACTTCATTGCCTTGTGCAACCAGTAACCATGAGGACACTAGCAGATCACAAAACTAGAGAAGAATCAGTCATAAAGTATAAGGAGAGACCAATTGTATGTGGCCACTACATGAAAAACCTTTTGGGGGATGGGGGGTTTGTCTTTCTTTTGACTATCCATTGCACCTGTTGCCACTTTTCATTTGCCCTTGTTTCTCCTTTATTCTCTTGAGACTGGCTGTGAGACACAGTAAGGATTCTTGCAACCACACATACCAATGTGTCATTCTTGAGGAGCTGGAATACCTGTGCAACTTCATTGCCTTGTGCAACCAGTAACAATGAGGACACTAGCAGATCACAAAACTAGAGAAGAATCAGTCATAAAGTATAAGGAGAGACCAATTGTATGTGGCCACTACATGAAAAACCTTTTGGGGGATGGGGGTTTGTCTTTCTTTTGACTATCCATTGCACCTGTTGCCACTTTCATTTGAGGTTCAGTGACAAATAAGGGTTGTTCAGATGACCAATTCAAAATCTTTTAAAAACTTAATTTGAAAGCATGCATCAGGTTCATTAAAATGTAAGATTTGTATTCATGTTGGGTTTGTGTTTTTTAAAATGACATTTAAACTTTTTTTTTCAAAAGGTAAGACTAAATGGACCTAAAAATGTCAAGTGGTGTAACCACTGAACAATTAAGAATATTGAATATTTTATACATCTAGAGTATATGTAAGTGTACTCATGATTGTAATTACTTCATTTTAAAATAGCACAAGAAAATAGATTTTATTAGGACTATCCCTAAATTTATAAGTTATGCCTTTTTTCAATACTGAGCAGGACACAAAGCTGAAACCACCTCTGTTTTCTAATTAATTTTTGGCAAATTATGTGAAAATTGTTTAAAAAAAAACATGTTATTTCACTGCAATAAAGGACTACTTTTATTCAAATTTAATTGTCCTGTATTTTATTATATTTTTTACAAGAAATACTGGTTACACCAATTAACGCAAACTAGTTACACCAACTGACCATACTGCTTCTACAGTCAAAGGCCATTGTTTCTTGAAGAAATTGTTGTTAGCTTCCTCCATTTAATGTTTGCTCCACCTTCCAAAGTGCACAGAATACCAGTACACTGAAGACAGTAATGTAGCACATTTGTCTTAAACACAGAATAGCATAAAAGTGAAGTGAATAGATGGGCCTTTTGGATAGGTCTCATAGATCAGCAAATTCTTACTGATACCTGATCTGGCTGTCTTAGCCAGGATCGGTGCACCCTTAATAAATTCATATCTTAAGTAAATTACAACATCTGACCAAAATCATCAGGGGGAATTCATTTCTTCAGTATTTGGAATAAACTCAAGGTACCTGTGCCCTAATCAAAGGATAACATACCCACAGGCAACACTTTACATCATGGCCATCACAGCACAAACAGCACTGCCACCTTCTATAGTACCAGACTTTGGCAAGCAAGCTCCAGGTAGTGACATGCTGATACTACCTACCCTACCACATGGCCCCTAATAGCCGACACATCTAAAATGCAACTACTTGTGCCAATATTACAGCATACATACACATATTAGATCATACATGTTTAAAGGTGCACTATGTAGATTTGGTGGTGAAATTTGAAAGTTGGAGAAGTGAAACAATTCTTTGATATATTTTTTAAACTGAATACACAAACTTTATTCAAAGTATAAAATGGGTCCCTGGAACTCTGTTTGGAGATATAAAGCTACCAGGAGAGTTACGCTTTCACTGTTGCGGGCCCACCACCATAACTTCTCCAGTAGCATTTTATCTTCAAACAGTGTCACAGGGACCAAATTTTCATCTGAGGACAGTTTGTGTTTAGAGTTATGATGGACATATACCACATAAACTGTAAATTTCTCCAACTTTCACACTTCTCTACCAAAACTACATAGTGCACCTTTATAAATGTAAGTAAATGGAACACAAATATGCAATTTGAAGCTAAACATTTACAAAATGCCAGGGTATTTTGTCCTAGACCCTTGATAAAAAGGTAGTGGATGGATAACCACTTTAATCAACATTAAAAAATACTGATATTTGACAAAAGTGGCCTCTAACAGAAAGGCTTGTCATAAATGTCAAATAGTGTAACCAGTTACACCAATTGACATTTCCACTTCAAATCAAATTTGACAGGCATTATCATTGAGACCTATGTAAGCCCATTTCCTGGTGTGAACATTTCAAATCTAATTTTCAAAGTGAATACAAATTTTTATAATTATCATAAATTCTTAATGTTTTTCTGAGGTCATACCATTTGACATACCTGACCACGCCCTTAAAATGTCAAATTATCTCATGTTTAAAAGAGAGTTGCTAAACATGGCGTGCAGCAGTTAGGACCATCAGGGGTTCTTCTTTGTGATATAATTTCTTGTCACATGATCTGATGAATATATTAACAAAATGGCTCCTTTAATGGTGGTTACACCATGTTGACAATTTCGTACTTGACTGGGTGACACGATTTCCCTAAAATAATTATAATAATAAGAACAATGATGTTCCACTACTTTTATTTACTATTGAACAGTTCTATTGTAAGATTATGCCAGGCTAGTTCATAGGGTGTTATATGAAAATTTAATCTTTTTAAATCAAGTTTAATTCTTTGGTACAAAGTTTCAACGGTTACACCACTTTGACATTTTGGCCTAAATACCCCAAATATTCTCTAAAAATGTGTAATAAATATAAATTTTAGACTTAAAACAAAGGATGAAAGCATGTCATCTGTGCATTTATTTTTTAGATTTTAAGCCTTTAAAAGTTAACTAAACCTTATCGACACAAAAAAATGAGCATCACGTCATTGACCCTTGAATCAAAGCAGGTGAATTTGATTCACATCAACTTGTACTCTCTGAATGGACAAATTTACTTTTAAGGTTTACCTGACTTGGTGTTATACAACGATGATTTAGGCAGTGCTCACAATTGACTTCTTTTTTCAACTGCCAGCGCCTTTTTTTTTTTTTTTTTTTTTACATACAACCCTATGGAAAAAGGAGAAATGACAACGACTGTTTGAAAAGCTGGAGCCTTTTCAAAAAGCACTGCGCCCGACGCCTTTTTCAGTTGAATTGTTTTAACTTTTCAGAATGGCGCCATGTGGCATAAAGCGCCTTTCTGACAGCTGACCAATCAGAACAAGTCGAGTAGGTGTGCATGTACCTTCCCTAGTAACCTACGTCCCTAGTTACCGGTGCCCATAAAGATGAATGCACCCATAAACAGCGCATTGGCTGTTCAGGGGCATCCTCCTCAAACGCCAATGCAAATGGTTACACTGTATTTGCCATTTTACCAGCCAATGTCATCGGTAGAAAGCTATCTGATAGACGACCCAAACTTCCACGAGATATATATGCATTGCGTGTCCGCTCTGGTCCGTGCACCCTCATCCGTCAACATCCACCGGCTGCGTTCTCAGTCCGCAGCACGGAGAGCACAGCCAGACAACTGGAGTATGGAGACCTGCTGTAATTTTACAGATTCACTCACAACAACGTGAGATAACACGATGTACGTGGTATAAAACTCTAAACCATATTAACACTATAAACAAACACACATACGGTCGTTTTTCTGAACCATCAAAGTGGTTTATTCTGAAAATAAACCGGATGTTTTCATTTTGTATCGGTGTCTGACTTCTCATCCCGCTGGTTCTTTTCCGTGCTAAATTGAAGCGTCTGCTCTGGCACGGTTGCGCCGTAGGCTAGATCCCGCTGTTAAGGTTACAGAACACTCGCGTAGAAGCGCTCAAAGGGTGCTAAAGGCAGCTCTTTTTTCTTGAAATAATAAGTCAAGTGTGAACACTTCCTTAGTGATCCTTTGATTTTTTTTGAGCAGTACATAATTCAAAGCCATGGGGCCAGTCTGGCATCTCAAGCCTTCAAATTGCAAGGATTTTCAAAAGATATTTTACTCATTGGACTGACTGGATTATATTTTGGGCCTCACCAGTATCAAAAACAAATCCTTACCAATGCAGGAATCCTAATAATTTAAATCGTTACTTATGGCCATAATTGCTTGGATCTATTTTGTAAAAACAGGCTCACTCAGCAAAGGCAAACCTATTTAAACTCCAAGCTAGTATAGATAGTGGCAATTATTTAAAATTGAGAAATGTGCAATAATTTTGGAGCCCCTGTATTTCGTCATCATTTGATTCAGTGGCTTTACAGTAGAATGGTTTCTGAGTAGTTAAATAACTAGCAGTGAAAAAAATTAGCTCCAGATTTTAATTTTACTGGATGAATCCTTCATACATTTCTCTATTTTCCTTTTAAACAAGCATTGCTTAAGAAGGAAAACCAGAGAATACACAACAATTAAGTCATACTTAAAATAATTACCTGGTGTTCAAATGTCTGCTGGTAGCTAAATCTTCAAAGACATCAGTTCAGGTTACCTTTAAAATGGACAGAAATTCTTATTAGTACAACAGGAACTTATTTGGGGTTTTCCCCGCACTATATATTTTTTAAAGCATCAGAAGATATTGCATCAGCCTACACAGAAATCAAGATGTACGCCCATTAAATACTTGCAACACAAGTAAACCCATTCAAGCATGGTCTTTAGATCTTGACAATCTGCACGTAAAAATCATTACGTTAATGCACATTATGGTATTGGTAATTTAGTTCAATGCAAATGTCAAAAGCCCTCATTCAATTCTGTTTCATCAATTCATTCACACCTACAAACATACCGGAGACATCAATATGGTGAGTAACCATTAGAGATGGTGGAACAAAATCAATTGAAATGTAAGAATCAAGATTCTTATCTTCTTAGATTATAAGTAGATTCATTCATTCATACTACTGGCTAATCAGCCACTCAAGTGCTAAGGCTGGCTCTTTAACTCAGTAGAATGCCAAATGGAGTAGCAATACATGCGGAAAGTTTCACAGATGACTGGAGACGGGGGGGGGGGGTGCACTGCATTTAAAGAGACACACATACCAAAACGGAGCTTTCTGTCAGAGCTATGTAGCGGGTTTGACAAGGTTTTAATTTTGGGGTGCCAGTCAGAGTCAAGTCTGACAAATAATATTTAAATGCAAACAAAAAAAATTCTGCCAGAAACAGGGAAATAACAAATCCAACAGGTAATCGAGCCTGACAGCAACGAAGATTTTAACAAACGGCTATAACACGGACTTTCAAACACGCTCTATGCCGAGGTAACACTTCTCATTCACTGACTTTCTTCCAATGACTGTCTGCGCCGATCACCGGTGACTTGCACCTATACAAATGCCCTTCCTGGAGGACGGATTCAGACTTCGCGGGCACTGTGGCTGTTTTTCATTGGAGTGTGAGATGAATGTGGGTGGATGACGGAGGACGCAATGAATGGAAGTGTGAACAAAGATGATTCTGACTCTGCAGGCGTTACAGCTGGTTTACAGGGTCACAAACCTCTGTAGCTCGATTCATGTTATATTTTGACCAAAGCACAATGTTTCATTTAGACCACAGGAGACTGTTTTAAAAAAGGTAGAAAAGGGGTATAATGTCCTCTTTAAAGAGAAGAAGAAAAAGACGAACAACAGCCAATCATGTCGCAGGGATATGAGTAGGCAGGCTTACAGACGTTTGGAGCAGAATGGAAACACAGCCAAAATTTGCGATAGCGACACTGAAGGAAACGTTGCTCAAAGCGGGAGAAAACATTGTCGACAAGATGACAAGAAAGGACACTCCACTACCGGAGTTTAGAGACATTTTGGCTATTTACAGTCCGACAAAAAACAGAGTAAAGTGCTCTGTTAACTGTGCTGAAGACAGCGAAAACGGGCAACACCACAAACATTTACCCCCGTTTGAAACAATATGACCTGTTAGAACACACCGAAGGAAAGAAATTACCAAACGTCCCAAACGAGTATGCCGACCGCATTATTATAAACAGTCTATGGTGTGAAACCTCAGTAAGCACCGGGCCAGTAAGTGTGCCTCCACAGCAGCAAACTGTCATAGCGTTCTCCAGCTCCGTGCACTGAGCTTATGATGGTGAAATGTCCCTGTTTAATTATAGTTTGTCATGTTCTGATAATGAATAATGAATAATGAAAGAAATAATGATTGACAATTATTATCGATATTACATTTTTTATCATGATAACATTTTATGTCATATCTTCCAGGCCTAGAACAAAACTTAAAATATTTTTTATACTCTGGTTATTTGCTGTGAAACTGAATGGCTGTTATATATATATATATATATATATATTTTTTTTTCTTACCACTGTAACTTTTGCTGCTTTGCTAAAATGCTCATGATGGATAGGTCGGGTCTTTGTAATATAGCAATAAGTAAGGTCTTTTACCTGCTTTTTGTAATGTTAACAGACAAAGAGTAAGGTATTTTACCTGCTTTTTGTAAAGTGTCTTGAGATAACACTTGTTATGAGTTGACGCTATACAAAATAAATTGAATTGAATTATAGTATATTGACCATTGTCATTTTCTATGATAGAGCAGCTTTTAGAAGCCACCTCTCGTGTATTTGCTTAACAGAACACAGGTTTCGGGTTAGTTTTTTCCTCCAAAGTCCAAAGCAGTACATGAAGCAGTAAAATCATGCTAGGGAAGGTAGAAAAAAATAGTTAGAAACGTACACATAATATTAGCCCAAGACTAACATCCCAAGAGTGATCAGGAGTACTTATAAGAAGGCCAATCTATGCCCCTGACTCTCCTAGCATGAACTACTTTTTAAAAACCAAGGTTTCATTGCTATATTGAAAAAAGAAAAACAAGATGGACTGTACTTCATTCAGAACAGCAATAGTATGTGAAAAGCTATGATGTAGCAGAACTGTATCTGTACACCTAGCAACCTCCTTCTGTCATCTGAGCCTTTAAACCAGGCAGCACCTTCTTATTTTGTATATTTGTGAGTAAATTATTCCACAGTTACCAACTCAGTGTTTCCCATTAATTAACTAGACTTTGTACCTTTTCCTGCTCCTCTCTCTGCTGTCATGACTGTGAGCATCGCGGGGCACGCTGAGCTACACCAACATACAGTACACATACAGTGTACACACATACACACACACTTTCCCTTTTAGTGCAACAGCACAAAGTTGACCATAGACCGTACATATTAGGTCGGTTCAACTTTACTCTGTTCCCTCTCACTGTGTCTGCTGCTAACTTAACAATAGCAACATCATCTCACAGCCTGCTGAATTAATGAAGAGGGAAAAAACATATTTGATACAAACGTAATATTAAAATCTGACTATTATTACTACTGAAGGAAGAAGCCATACGGAGGAAAGTGAGGAGAAAATGAAGCAGTCAGCAGACAGAGTGTTTTCTGCAGCTGGACTTACACTGTGCACATGACTTAGTCCTGATCACTATGTGCTCATTTAAAAAAAAAACAAAAAAAAAACACATTAGACCACAGCTACATCAGTGTTTCCCCTACCATTATATTAGGGGGCGGCCCGCCCGCCAAATTAACTCATCACTGTTTAAACATGTACATGACAAAAACCAAAATAAATTTAGATTGGAAGATACAAAGCGTTGCAGAAAACCCTCAAATTGTCCATAAAGCATTGATCAGAATGTAGTGGAAGACATTTCTGGTGCTAAAAATGTTCTGGGGGAGACCTCCACCCAATAAAGACATTTATTAAATAGACTAAACTTATTAGCAGTGTGGTGCATTTAAAAACAATAATACAGGGAAATAAAAAGTATAAGTAAGTGTAGGACAGCCAGAGACAGACAGGAAATTCTGCTCTCTCCTCTCAACAAAGTCCCGAGGCTAGATTTGAAACTCGCGGCCACTGCGATCAGGGCTAATCTAATAGTCTTCGTACATGGGGGTGTGTGAAATGACTGGTGCCAAGAAAGTGCCAGGTGCAAAATCCATACACTTCAGACACTTTTAGTATCAAAAAAGTTGTCTAAGGTCGAGGCTCTATTACAAATGTTAAAGAAGTTATGTTTAGCATTGGTGAGTATCACTTTAATAGATTCCACATTAGCACTGTAAAGAAGCTCCACCACAGAATCAAACAGCTGTATATATGTCCCAGCCTAGTGTATGATTTTACATAAGGATGCCAGTGACGGTGCTTTGTTTCAGCACCAGACCTGTCTGCAGCGCTGCTTGAACATTTCCATGGTGAGAGTGTTTGTGTCTGTCACTGATTGTCACAGAATTGTTGTTAAGAAATAAAATGTACAGTCAAAATAAACTTGCAGGCCAGTTTCTGTTTGTTAGGTGAGACCTCAAATTGGACGTGTTTACTCTTTTTGGCACAGATTTGACAATTTGCATCATCTAAATGTTCTAAATTTAGCCAAAAATGAAGAGGTAAGAGTAAGTTATATTCAGTGTAGGCATCAGTGCAGTTGCCCTCATGCTCCACGGTTGGCTTGTTAATACTGCTGGAACTCATTTTCGTGGTTACAACGGCAGCCCTACCATACAAACACATCGAAACACACAATGCTTTCCCAATTTGTTGTCACCCAATTTATGCAGACATTTTGACTCTTATCTGTTCTTAACTTTGCAGCTGTTACAATTCTGCATGCTCACTTTAAACGTAATATTTCAAAACGGTGGAATAGTAACAGTCAAGCTTTGAACAAGCTGTGTAAGAGAAGGTAAATGCATGCAGGCACTGATGAAATTTGGCTCCATACTGTTGAGAAGAATTTATGTACAGAGAAAAGATTTTAAAGGTTTTATGGATTATTATGACAAGATTTTGTGACATCACTAATGAGAGAGACTGTCCACGATATGCAGTTTTTTCTTACCACTGTAACTTTTGCTGCTTCGCTCAAGTGCTCATGATGGATAGGCCGGGTCTTTGTAACATAGCAATAAGTAAGGTCCTTTACCTGCTCTTTTGTAACATAACAATGAGTATGGTCTTTTTACCTGCTCTTTTGTAATGTTAAAAGACAAAGAGTAAGGTATTTTACCTGCTTTTTGTGAAGTGTCTTGAGATAACACTTGTTATGAGTTGATGCTATACAAATAAAAATTGAATGATTGATATGGAGGAGGGGGGTTCTTAGGAATTAAAATGTTTTTCCCCTCTATCTACAGGATAGGCTCCACATCAATAGACATGGTCACTTCCAGATGTTTCACACAGGACGAGGATAATAATGATCATTATTGCATACACTATGTGACCACCTGGATGATGCTTGTTTGTCTGGTCTTCATTGTGTGTTTATAAGATGTTGCAGCCTGCACAGAGGACAAATGGGAAACGCCAGGATCAGCTTAACAAATAACAAACATAACCCTGCGGAACTTTGTGTGGTTACTGACTTGAACCACGTGTGACAATTTTACCCTGACGTGGATCGTTATTTTGTATTAAACTAGCTAGCTGGCTACCTCACTCACTATCACAATGCTAGCTAGCACTTAAACCCGACAGCTAATGGCTTCCCTTCAGCCGGTGTTAAGGAGGATTTCTTACCAGTTCAGTGCTCCGTGTTTCCCTTCCGTCCTTCCCCGCAAGATTGGGCTTTACGGGTTATCAGCTACATGGTCTTGGTTGTATTAATCACGTAGCAGACTGAAGCCTCGGGTTTCTCTACAGTAGTCTTCACGATGGCTTCCGCCTTCCCTGAGAGACCTCCTTTCTTTCTGGAGTCTGGACTCCTAGTCTTAAGTAGTCCTGGTTTTATCCTACAAGCTACAAAGCGTGTTGTTGTACTCCGGATACTGGCGCTAGGTTTTGTCCCCTCCCCATCACGCTAATATTACTTTGCGCATTTTCACACAATGTGCCCTGAATTGTAGGTCCGTTATACAGCGGTGTAATAATTACAACCAATAACAAGGAGCCGTGAATCCGAGAGAGCCCGCCCCTTCGCGCTTTGTGAGCCCTGTTCCTGTCAGAGTCGAGCTTGGCGGGGCGGTAGGACGACTGCTTCCGGCCGACTGCACCGCGGTTGCCTCCTTGCTGCTGCAGCTGCTCCTGCCCTCCCTGTGTGCAGTGGTAGTCAGGTGCACTACTTGTGCCGACAGAAACCAGGTTGATCATGACAGTTCTCAGTGGGGAAGTGCTCCCATATGCAGATTCAGTACAACTGTGCTGATCTGCACAATCAACATTACTGGAGAACTCAGTCAAAACCTGCAAGACAAAGTGGACTCAATGTATTTGGTCCTTAAAGGGTTAATAGGTTTCTCACAACCATTTTGTGGACAGTATTTGCTACAAAATGGCGCCCTCCCTTTTTGTGCAGACCCACTGCAAGCCCCTTAGGCTAGGAGAAACCAGTTCTTATGGGAAAAAAATCACAGACATAGTTCCATAAGGAAAAAACATAAATGTGGACATAATGAGCACAAAGGACCTACTGACTTTACTTAAGTTATTCAATCTAAATTATTATCTTACTTCTTATACCCCCCCTCCCCCCCACTTTCATGCATTACTGGCTTAAAAAAACTAAATAATAATAAGAATAATAAGCAAATAACTCCCAAGTTTGCTTCATTGGGGCACTTCCCAGATATAGGATGTACTTAAAGGATGTTGTCCCTGCAAGTTCACATATCAATGGCCAGGTTATGACTGAAAGACTTTTTGAGGATGTGCCATTAGACCATGTTCTTAGCAGCCACACTTCTGGGCAACACAAAAACCTTGCTGTCCTATGGCACTGTGATATGCTAAGTGGAAGTATAAGGATACACTTTTGAAACTCCAGAAAGACCTTTGTGGTAACGCACTTAGTGCAGACAGAAGGTAGTGGATGTGTTCATGTGGAATGTGAAAAAAGAGAATTTGGAAAGAAACTCAAAACCTGCCTTTCTTCCCTCCCTATGTCTGACAATTGCTGCTTTAGGGCTGACATTGGTTTCATATTGATAGTTTTGATGGGATAAAGAGTTCAGTTCAGGGGATGATGCTCATAGTTCTACCAAATTAAAATGTGGGATAGAGGTTGGGCTGGGGTCGTCCTAACAGCTCTGACAAACATTCTAACACCGTGAAGGTTGGGCATGTGATTCTTAAGAAATTTTGGCTATATTCAGACATTCCCAAAAATACATCCAATAACTCCCCTCCCTTCAGAAGCTCCACCCCCAAATTCCTGAAATGATTATTGCTATAGGGTAAAACCGCATTGATAGCTAGCACAATTACGGAAAAGGGAGTTTACATGTCCATGGGTTAATAAGTCCCATAGGAGAAGCATTTTCAGATTTTAATTATGAAAGTTTCATATTCAGAGAAGCTTTCCAAGACAGAAATCTGAGTATTACATGTTGCTTGAATTGTGCTGTGCGGCTTGGTATTTTCACACATGTAAAATACTTCGAAAATTGTCCTGGTGTGCTGCATGTGTGAATGCAACTGGCCAAATTTTTACCCTGATTTTACCGGTAATTTTTCCTGCCAGCTCCCTTGTACATGTGAAGTCAGAGTGAGCTGATGCAGCAGGAAATACTCAAGTATTCACCACAAGCAAGCGTGTGTAAGTGTGTGATGCGTATATCAGGGAATGGTTTGCAACTGACCGTCACAATCATTGTGCACCTTTGTACATAAATAAGTCCAACTACAACTACCATACTGTTTTGCTTCATCAAACATTTCCACACCATCCATTTTAAGTCATGTCCTGCCTCCTGAGCCCCCCCATTGGATGTTGAAAGTCTAGCGATGTGTGCATGTGCAGTTGTATGTGTGATCAGGCAAGACAGGATGACCTTAGGGGCATCCTGCCCTGAAAGTTCCTTTACATTTTCGGACTTGCATTTGAGCAAAAGGCTAATTAATTCATGCCAGTAAACAGAGCCAGGGAGTGTACAAACACCAGACTGCTTTAAGGCCCACACAAATCACAGTTAGGAGATATTTGCTGAGTTTGCCTTTGACAGCAGTCAAGGACCAATTGGTTACCATATGATCATTTTTTTATGTAGATTTATTACAGCACTAGATTGAGGAGTGATGTGGCAATTTTCAATGGAATGAACGGTTCAACATCTTGGAACATGGTTCACCAATTTCATCAACTTGTGTTTAATCAGTAATGCAACCTATTAAGCCTATAATGGTGCTGCTTCATTGTTTTCATGACCAAACCAAGTGCTCTTGTCAAATGAACCCTTGAATATTCAGCTGAGGACCTTGTTGACAGTTAATACTGATCCCAGGGGAAAATTAGCCAATGAAAGAGGCAACTGCTAAAAAAACATGTAACATTTCCCTAAACCTGGTTTCAGCCTTTAAAGTGAGCTCTTACCATGCTAATTTATGTCCAAGTTTTTATATTTCTGAAAGTTTCCCATGAATTAGTTATTTAATGCAAAAAGAAAAAGAAAAAAATTGATTAACAGTGTAGAGGAGTGACTAGAGGAAAGGGGAACGAATGCTAACAAAAGAGTTGAGTTTCTCTTACCATGAGTGTTTGCTTCAGACCAACATTATATTCTCTGCTTTCAACTGACCAGAGGGATCTTTATCGTTTTGTTGGCAAGTTGTGTGTTTTGGTTGTGGGGTGATTGGACGACAGTGATTGGATGCGATTGACAGATCATAAGAAAGGTCCCTTGGTTAGTTTTAACCATCCAGTAGTAACAGTTGCATTAAGGGAGGCACGTGATCTTCTACACCAACTTAAGTAAGCAGTTAACCAGTGTTACTGGTTTCAGTCAGGGCATTTGAACTAGTAGTTAACTGAAGTGAAAGTGTGTGCAACTGCCTGCATAAGCAGCACAGCCAAAAATAACTTCTTGATTGTTTTGGAACCCATGTTGGCAAGTTACTCAACTGACCTTCACAAATCATCAGACACAGGATGAATGATAAAGGGGGATATCAGAATATATAAAATGTAATTTGTATAAAGATCAACTGGGATCTCCACTGCTCTGGTAAAAAAAAAAAAAATCTGTTGATTTGTTGGTAACCACTTGAATTTTCACCTATTACCACCAACATGACAAATCTTAGTCAGGAGAATACACTACCCTAGGGTTTAGCAAGGTCCTAGGCTCAAATGCCCACATTTCCTGTTAGAGTCCCCACACTGCACCATTAAAGGCTTACTGACTTACAATGCTAAGCATTTAAAAATTGTATGCCTATGTGTCCCTTGAACCGCTATGTCAAGTAATCCATTATTAAAGTAACGCAGCTATGGCCCCAAGACCATACCTTTACCAGCTACTTAACCATGTCTAGAATGAATTAAGCTAACAAAATCCTTTCTATCTAAAATACCATGACTGTGTCTGCATCAGTAAGGCAGCAAGTGCAGTACATTTCTTTGGTTTTCCAAGAATCATTTTTGATTGAAAACCCATACAGCCACAAGAGAGGACGGCTCTTCAATATCACCAATTAATGCATTAACATTTTTTCTACCAATTTGTTTTACCAGCTTAATTCTTGCTATAACCCCATGACTTTTCAGAATTATACAAACATCCAAAACAAGTCAGGAACGCATTATTAAAACACTCTCGCAAGCGTTAATCCCAGTACTGGTTTAAAAAAAGAGCTATGGTCCGAGACTGTGCTTTCATATAAAATCTGGAATGAGGTCTCATTATACTTTTTTCTGACGTGATGTGTTTTTTTATGTGCTGCAGAACATGAACGGTGAACATGAACACTTGTAAACCACTTTTAACTGTATAACTCTCACTTTTGAAATGTTACTTTTAATATTTTCCTGTATGAAAAATAAATAAATAAAATTAATGTCCATGTCATTGAGTACACATACAAAGCCATCCATGTAGGATACGTTGGCTTCAATTCAACAGTATTTTCACCCTAAAGCATTAGATAGCAGTACATTGTGGAGTGTCACACTGTCTCACTGATACAAAGTCTCCACAGACAGAACTTTTTAATAAAGGCTTTAAGAACTAATATTGAAACATCACAGATATGGTTTCATAATTGTACTAAAAACAATATCCCAAGAAACATTTTAAGTACCCAATTCAATTAAATTAAAAGGTTTTTTTGCTGCCAAATAGCAGAAAGTTAATTAAAGCAAAACTGATGGAAAATAATGGAAATTCTACTTACTTTTAATGGCACAATTACAAAACATATCAGTTACAATACTGTCTCTTCAAAAAGTAAGATATACACATTCAAAATCACATTAGCATGTAAAACAATGTAAAAACATACAAAAAAAACAATGCAAAGCATTAAATTTGAGATCCAACTGTAGCCTGTGTGAGAAGAATAGGATTTCCTGTCATTTGTATGTTGTTTTCTTTTGTTTTTTTCCATTTTAAAATACCTACCCACCTAGCCATCATTCCTCTTATATCGACTTAATATTTACTCATGCAATAAAATAAATGAAAAGAATGTGAGGAGTGAATCAACATAATCACAAATGGTATCATAATCTTCGAAGTTGTACAAAAATTTTCACAATCAAAACAATCAAAGGCCATCTTCAACATGATTGTTGGCAAAAGCAGTAACAGGTTAGATACGATAGTTACCCATTGTTTTCAGAGCCATGAGAAGTTTGGTGCTGAAGGAATGTCTCCAAGCATAAGAATGTCTCAGTGCACTCAGTGCATTCATAAAGGGCCTCAGATGAATTAGCTTTATCATTTTGTGTAGTATCCATATCATCCTCAATGTCCTCTTGGTTACCCTTTAGAACAGTATGGACCCCTCTGGAATCAGTGCCATGACATGTTTCACCAACAGCATTTGCTTCCCCAGTGTTTGGGTGATTTTGAAGGTGAAGTTCAAGGGATGAAGAATTCATGAATTGAGCTGGACACCTGGGGCACTTAC